AAAAATAGGTCAAGAGAATTTCCGCCTTTAACAGAAAGAGGAAAAATTAACAAAAGGCATACAGTCCTCTCAAAAAGGTAGCAAACGCATTTGGTAAAGTTTTAACACCTACAAAAGAGTTTAAGAAACTATTGGAAACTCGAAAAGAATGATACTGCCTTGATCTCAACAAAACTGTTACCAGAAGCCCAAAGATTATACTTCATTATGAAATACTGAGAACTTTCCTTCTGAAATGATTATAAAACAACAGAAATCACTACTAGTCATCACTGTAGTAGGAGGTTCTAGCCAGAAAAATAAATAAAAGGCAAAGAAAGAGATGAAACCATTATTATTTTCATTTTGTATGACTGCGTACAGAAAGAAAAAAAAATCTGTGTAAAGTAAAAGAATTAATAAATGAGCTGGGCGTGGTGGCTCATGCCTGTAATCCCAGCACTCGGGAGGCTGAGGTAGGAGGATTGTTACGAGTTCAAGACCAGCCTGGGCTACAAAGTGAGCTCAAGGCCAGCCTGAACTGCATAGCGAGACCGTGTCTCAAAAAAGACAAAAAAAAAAAAAAAAAGAATTAATAAATGAGTTTACTGAATAAATATTTCAGTAAACAAGAAACATTAGGGAAAAATGCATGTTTAAAATCACAATGAGATACCACTCACCAGAATAGCTCACACTTAACAAAAATTCAAGTTTAAAATGTTAACACTGGGGCTGGGGATTTAACTCAGTGGCATAAGTACCTGCCCGGCAAGCAGGCGGTCGTGAGTTCAATCCCCGGTACCGATAAAAATGAAAAAGACAAAAAAAAAAAAAAAAAAAAAAAAAAAAAAGTTGACATTGATAGGAAGCAGCAGAAATTTTACCCAGAAGGTATGTAAATTTATACCACTGCTTGAAAAACATAGCAGAATGTTACAAGGCTGAAGATGGAAATACTATGAACCAGCACCCTTGCTCCTGAGTGCACACACAGAAGGCCTGCAGACATACTGTCCCCACGAATCCCCATGTGCAAATGCTCATGGCAGCATCATGAAAAACAGACCAAAACTGGAAAATATGTTCTGTCTACCAGTATTCCAATGGATAACTTGTGGTGTAGTCTATGATGGACTATTGGCTTACTTACTTTTCTCTCATTTCTGAGACAGAATACTGAACACCCAAAATTTTAAAAAGGAAAAGTTTATTTAGCTCACAATCTGTAGAGGTTTCAGTCCATAATGTTCTGGATCCAAGGCAGGATGGCATGGCAGAGGGGGAACAGTTCAAGGCAGCAGAAGACAGAAAAAGCAACAAGAGCAAAAAGAGAGCGTGCAAGCCTCTTTTCCTCCCTTATATTGTAGCTTTTTACTACAACTGAAGATGTAGTAAATCACCATCCTCAGTTGGGTGTAGCGCTCACACCTTCTCTGTGCCCTCCTCTTGCCCAGGCTCAGGATGTTTACAAAGTGAAGACTCTGGCCCCTGGCTGAGTCACTTAGTTAAACTTCTAAAGTGCTCAAATTAACACAATGGATCAACCATTACAATATCCCAGAGGGTAAACAACTGACCCAGGACATGTCCTCTACACCCCAGGCTGTAGGACTGTTGAGTTACTTAGTTAAGCTTTTGACTTCTCAGATTGACACAATGTGTCAACCATTACAACTATGAGAAAAGTGCTATGAGAATAATCACCAAGTTCTCCACAGATAAATGTCAAAAATAATTAAACGAGGGGCTGGGGCTTTAACTCAGTGGCATAAATGCTTGCCTGGCAAGTGCAAGGTCATAATTCAATCCCTGGTACCAAAATAATAATAACAATAATAATAATAATTATTAAATGGAACAATCCACACACAAAATATATGTATGATTTTGTTTGTCCTCCATAGACTTGTCCAGATGTTTCTGAAGAAGACTTGTTAGGAAAGTAAGGTTTCGCTGAGCTGCAGTTTACTTCTCTTAATGGGGTTTCTGCCTTGGCCCGGGATTTGACAGATCCTGCTGCATTTGCCAATTCTGCTTCACAGGAACCTAGATATGGTGATAGCAACTTCATTAAAATTACTGGAGGACATGTAGGATGATCCCAACAACTTTTAGGAAAAATTCTATGTATTCTATGAACCTGAAAGCTTTGTCAGCATGAACTTGAAATTTTTCTTTAAGATTTGGGGAGAACAATCCACTGGATGGTTTAGGGTGTCATGTCCAGTGACTCAGCTGTCTACAAGCTCTACAGAAGAAGGGCAGGACCTGACAGACCAGTGACCTGAGGCGAGTGGTGCAGGGGACACAGAAGGACCAGGGAGAACCACTCAGTCTGGTCGCTTCTTTGAGGTAGGGTCTCTCCCAGTAACCAGCAAAGCCACCACGTGAGCCATGCCCCACCATCACCAGGCACCCAGGCTCTTGCCTGCATTTCTGCCTCTCAGGGGCACAGCTTGGCGGAACCCCACAGCCACCCCTGAAAGCATCTTTATAGGAGGAGGGGTGAACACGAGGATGTGGGGCATTGGGCCATCACTGGGACATGGAAGGAGGCTTCATCCCTTACCCTGAGGACAAAACATGAGGTCACCTTTCAGAAGGTCAAAGCCATGGTGACCAGAGGCCCACAAGGGTTCAAGGAAAAGAGGAAAATCAGATGTCACTGTGAGGGCCTCATGCAGGGCCTAAGCCATGGCCTTTGCCCACCTGGCCTTGTGACACACAGATGAGCAGGACCCACCAGCCAGGGTTCTCCTGGCCAACAGCCTCTTCCCTACCTTGGCTGGGGGCAGCTTTTTAAAAACTTCCATGGATTATGACATTGGCCTGCTCCTTCTCTGGCCTCCTATTCTTTGCTGAATTAAAGTTCATGGTTGTTTTCCTCAGATATTTAAAGCTGTTAGGGTATGTGACACTGACCATGTGTGAGTTTGTGTGTGTGTGTGTGTACACATGCTTCTTCCTGGCAGAGTGACGTAGGTGTGTTTTGTTTTTAAGACTGAGTTTGCTTCATTCATCCTATGCTCATGATGCTGTGGCTGTTCAGCCACCATGCCTATCTCTGCCCCATATGTGATTGTTTCTTGCCTGGCTTGACCTGTATCCCGGGCTCCTGGCCCAGCTGTTCAAGAACAGCAGGATCACTGTGCTGTCGACCTCCCCACACCGTGCTCTGGGATCTGTCCACACTCATTCCACCCGTCCTTTTCTGCTCCTATCCTCAAAATGAGAACAAACACCAGCCTGAGAAGAAAAGAGCCACAGCCCCAAGTGTCGAGATCTCTGAGGGTTTCTGTGAGATGTCTGAGGCCATCAGTGCTCTGCTGCTTGCTGTGTCACTGTGAGTGGGAGGGAGCATCCAGGGCCTTTCTAAGAGGTGGTGGCAGCTGCGCCTGGCTATCCCCAAAGGAGAGGGCACCACAAGTTGCAGCCACCTGACAGTATGTGGATTCTGGGCTGGGGGTAGGAGGCAGAAGAGTCCTTGTCCTGCCTGTACTCCCTGCCACCCACAAGGAAGAGCTTGGCCCACTGTCTCACAATCAGTGCATCTTCAGGCCCCACTCCCCTGAAGAATTATGGGGTTCTCAGGTTAGGCAAGCAGGTCAGCCAGGAGGCTCAGCCAGCCTCAGCTCCTGAGCCTTGAGACCCAGGCAACTGGCAGCTACTTTAATGTTGCTTGTGAAAGAACAGGGAAGTCAGTGAAGTCTAGAGAAAGAATGCCCACTTTTAGACTGTGGCAATGCTTGATTGTTTACCATATCCTCCTGCAGTATTTTGAAAAGCACTCAATCAATTTGGTGGCATTTATTTTTCAAGTGGTCCAATGTCTAAAATCTTGGTACTAACATTTTTTTGGGGAAAATTTTGCTTATCATTGCATATAACTGATATATATATGTATGTATATATAGATATATAGATATACATATATAGTTTCAAAGTATTTTCTCTGGCTTATTTTGATCCAAGATGAAAAATCAATGAATTTTCAACAGTGGTTCTTAAATTTTGAAAGCCTGTCTCAATTGGGACAGTAGGCTCTAGAGAGTTAATAATTGGTTTTTTACAGTTCTGATATAGGGGTTAAGCAAGAAATCTAAGAAAGAGAGTAGCTCTTTTTTAGGAGAGTGATGATGTGATCTCTCAAAGCACTAAGATATCGCTATGAGAGAATCGGTAAAAAGATAACCCTCTAGGTAACAAAAGAGAGAAGTGTTTTTCATGATTTGAAGGAAATGTCTTTGAGTCCTATGAGACCTCCACGAGGATGGTTTGTCCTATGCAGTAGGTTTGAAAGTGGTATGTGGCTCCCATATCAATTTAAAAAAATGAGATAGACTTTGCCTTGACTTAGCTCTTATGGAGACATATAATAAAATATTTATAGATCAAATGATATATCTAGGAGTTATGGAGGATACTCGTGGAGAAGTAGATGGAAAATGGAGAAGGCAGATTTAGCTCTAAATTGATAGTTTACAGTCTGCTAAATGGGTGTGAGGAAATTATTCTGTTGTGTGTCTGCATCTATGTGTGTGGGTGTGCACATGCATGCTTAATTTTTTCTATAATAAAAACTATTAACAGTCAATCTGGTTGTCAAGCTCATCTCTTACCCCCATATTGTGTGGCATTTGTCACTGGAACTCTCACTGTTATCTAACTCTCCCCATTTAATCTCTGTGTTTCTGTCCTCTTCACTCTGTAGTAATTCTCCATCTCATGTATAAGCTTCTGTTCCTCCTACTCACACCTCAGTCATTAGTGTTGAGTGGAAAGAGGGCTTCTGAATCCATGGATGACTACTCTCAAGATTAGGAGAAGGCAGTGTCTATTACAGGGGTAGCACATACATGATAGGACTAAACTCCAAATTATCTGCTTTTCCTTCTGACTTCCTAGAACAGTTGCACAAATTACCTTAGATATAAAAGATATAAGGTAAGAAAACAGTTCATGAGGAAACCAGCTGACATTCTATTACAATAAGGACTAGTATTCGATTCAGAGAAGCATTTATAGGTATGTCAACTTTAATTATCTGTGCTCAGTGATCCTTAAAATGACTCTGCGTTTCTCGCCAAGCTGCATATGTTCCATGTGCTAGACTTCTTTGCCACCTGGGGAACTCTAAAGTTTGCTTCTAAGATGTTTGTGGGAATATTCCAGCGTATCATTTTAGGTGTCACATCCATCGAATCTATTATACAAGCGTAGAAGAAGGGCTTGTTTTGTTTCTTTTCAGGATGGTAGTAGATTTCCCCATGATGAGGTTTTGATAGTGACTTATGTTTTCGTTGGGAACAGGAATAATCTGATCTTTCTGGCCCATAATCACCCATTTTATTCTTCCTCGTGCTTTTGTGTGTATCACAGTAATGGGAATCATAGTTCCAGTGTTCATTCCCACATAAATTAGATCTGGGGCTCCTTCTTTCTTTGCTTTGAGGGTACATGTGGGACTTGCTTTGGTTTTTTGCAACGTGTACTTTAATACTTGATAAAGAGTAGCTTGCTGCACTGTCTGCAGTCCATGAAAATCTCTCTTCACTGAACGATATGCAAGATGACACAGACTGAATGTCCAGAATATCCGAGGAATGGTACCAGTCAGGTGAATGCATTTTGGAGGGTGATCTGTAGTTCTTCCTTCTGTGAGACTCAGAGGAAGATGGTGGCCTATTCAAGGCGTATTTTGTACAGGCTCTAACATGAGGGGAACCTGAATCTTTGCTGTTAGATGATTTCAGATAAGGTAAGATGTCTTTAATGGTGAAGAGATTAGTTGAAGGAATGCCATTCTGAACTTCATATAGAATTTTTTGTGATTCATGACTTAAGTAAGTGTTAGCTTCCAAAAATATACTTTCATCACTGTCGTCTACTTCAGGAGCCATGCACTCATCCAACATAGCTGAATTCTCAGCACCTACCTGAAAATCAGTCAAGTAATCAGAAATCTTCCTTGACTGTGAATCACCCAAACCAGTAGTATTTTTCTGGGTGTTTATATGAAAAGGTTTATGTGTATTTGTTTCTTGAAATGATACGTGATAGTGTTTATGTTTTTCTGGAGTAACATGGGATTTTAACCCTGAAAGAACACTAGTGTCTTCCTGTACCCGACTCCTCTGTGGACCAGGGTCAAAGGTACACCCCGATGCTGGCTCCAGTCCTCTGCGGAAAAGCAGTGAGTCTTCATGGGAATGCTGCTCTTTGGAAGTAATACGTTCCTGTAATACTTCTGTGTCACAGGGCAGAGACCAATTTGCCCCACTGTCATCTGCTCTTTTACGTAAGCCAGTTGTGTTTAAATCAGGGATAAGTTTGGGGAAAGCCTTTGGCTTAGGCAATGTACTTTCAGCAGAAGAGCCCAGGTGACAATGGAGATATTTGTGTTGTAAATTAAGATCTATTTCATGAAGGGATTTTTCATCAAAGAGTAGAAAGATCCCATTTTTTTGCTTTGGTACTTTGACAGAAGAATGACTATCATCAGGCAAAAGTCTCATTTTTTCATGAGCATTGATCATCTCATAAGATTCTCGTACAGTTCTGGCAAAGGCATTCATTTTTATCTCCATTGTTTTCACAGAAAAGTGCCTGTGAAGGTTTTCCTTTCCTTCCACTGAGTACGTTTGGAGCCTTGGTGACCATGATGGTAACTTACGCTTTTTATGCAGTCTTGGATAGAGTAAGCATTGGTTTTCTTCAAAAGTAGGCTGTTTTAGGTAAAAGCTAAACTTTTGAATGGAATTTTTTGCTATCTCTGGTATCTGATTTAGTTTTATTTCAACTGCTTTTGACTCTACATGATTAATGAGATCGTGTTTTTCTTCAGGAGTAAGATGTGTTAAACATTTGTCCTGCAATTTCCTTTCTTCATGATTCACAATATTGTTATTGTCCTTTTCTAATTTTTTCTGTCCCACATTTGTAGTGATACTCATTTTTATTTTGTCTGCTTCTGCTAGGTGTACTGATTGAAGCAGCAAAGCTTGGAGTTGTTGAAGGGACTTCCGAAGCAATTCTAGAAGATATTCTCTTTTTTCTAAAGCTTTTTGGAGTGGTCCTTGATCATCTTTCTCTGAAACAGAGACTCCTTTTGAATTTTCAGAGGTATCAAGTGCAACCTGCAGTTCCTTGAATGTTTCCCGTGGTGACGAAAATGAAACTGAAACCTCATGACTCACTGTTTGCTTTAAATTATCCATTAGTTCAGTTTCTTTCTTCATATTTTCACCTTCTATTTTGTCTGTTGTGGGGTAGGAATGGAATGTAGCAAGAGTTTTTTCTTCATGTTTTTCTGGCTGAGACTTTTGCCCTGGAAAGCGCAGTTCCAGCCTTTCCCCACCTCTGATAGCAGATTTGGTGGAATACATGTTCTCATGTCGTGAATGTGCATCTCTTCCTGATTCAGTGTGTGGCAGTGCAGTGCTTTGCTGGGCGGTGACCATGAAGTTTGAGGTTCGCAGTTGCTCTTCGTTTTTGCGGGGCACATAGTGTTCTGCTTGTTTAACTAGCTTTTTACTATCACCTTTCGCTGACTCTCGATTGGCTCTTTTCTGAACACGTGATTTCTGGACGTGAGATGATTGGCCTCTCTGCCGTGCAGAAGAGGATTCTGTAATTGCTGCTGTGGCTTTGTTTGCTTTGTTCCTCGAATCCAGGTTAATGAGAGGCATGGGTGATACAGAAACAAAAGACTGTGTCACAAGCATGCATGAGTCACCTCTATCTTTGTGCATTGTGCTCTCCAGCACCTTCAAATCCAGTATCCATTCCTTTGCATTAAGGATATGCCACATTGGTGAACTCCTTGGCACTTGGCAGTGTACCCCAATCCTCAGAGCTACCATCGCTGCCTCACACCTTCTTTCTTGCTGTAACATAGATTGGCTTCTTTTTCTTACATGGTCATTTACAGTCTCTCTGTCTGCTACTTTTTTTGCATCTGATAATGCTGAAAGTGGTACAGGAAGAAAGGAAGATGTTTTACTTCTAAGTCTCTCCTCAAGTATCCGTTTACTTTCATACCGTTTATGGTCAAATGGAGAAGGGTAAGAAGCATTAACTTTTCTTAGAACTGCTGTATCTTGCAGTTTTCCCCCATCTTCATGTTTTTTTCCTTTGTGTTTGCTAATATACATATGCAGTTCTGTTCTGTAGAGCTTAGAGGAAGGAAGGAATTTTTTTGACTTGAAAGCCATATCTGTTCCTCTCCTGTATATATTGTTTCTATCGATCTCTTCTTTCTGAGGCAGATCGCTTTTGGTTTTGACATCTTTCATGGTAACACCACCAATTGACTCTGTAGGTATTGTTTCCCTGGCATTTGACCTTGTCTGAAAAGCAGACCTTGAACATTTTGGCATTTTATCACCTAATTCTGATCCTTTCTCCAGTTTGTGGTGAGGGAGTGGTGATAATAAAGTAGATTTCGTCACAACTACACCTCGTTCATCTTGTTGCTCCTGCACTTTCATTTCTTGATGTTTGGGGAACATTACACTCTTTTCTTTTTGTGCTTCACGCTCTTCCTGGTTCTGTGGCATATATTGTTTCCCACTTTGTACACTGGTTAAAATAGCACCAGTAAGTGTTTTTATATTCTTGCTTCCTTTAGGATCCAATGGTACCTGGAAGTTCTGTTTTGAACAAGAGAATTTTGTAAACACTGGTGTACTCTCTTTCTTGATTGTGGGGTTCATATTAAGGAACAGAGTAGATCTCACAGTGGAAGTCTTAGTCAACATCCTATCTGGCTCATTTTTATCCTTCTGACTGCTTTCCTCTTGCTCTTTAGTTTCCCACTGACGGACATTTAAATTGTGTATATATAAAATAGGTGATTTCTCTGTCATCCAACATGTATCGTTGGGATCCACTCTAACCTTCAGACTCATAGCCTCTTCTCTAACTTTGTTTTCTTTCTGTGGCCTGTGTTCTTTTAATTCTTTTATGTCATTTGAAACTTCTGCAGCAGTTACTTTTGATGGTGCTGCTGTTCTTGCATCAGATGATTCCTTGAACTGCAATTTTGAGAAGAACAATTTTATAATTCTGCTTGTCAAATGTGTCATTAGTTCATTTTTATCTTCTTGCGTCTTTCTCCTAAGCTCTTTGGTCTTCCATGGCAACTCCTGGACATTGAGTGGATGTGACAGTGGTGATTTCCATACTTTTGGATCCTCAGATTGGGGGTGCATTTTGTCGTTCCTATCTGTTATGAATCTATCTTTTGTTCCTTCCTGTGTTATGGATTGCATTAGTTCTTTTCTGTTGCTGTAAGATACTTTTGTACCTTTCTTTTTAACTGCCCCTCGGTCCCAGCTCAGGGAAGTTAGGTGAGAAGGTGAGAGGGAGGTTTTCCTTGAAACTGTTTCTGGTTCAGTCTTGCCTTTCCCGTGCTCTTTTGTATTCACAAGCAGTGTCTTTTCCCTGTGGAGACACATCACATGAGATGCCTCTGCTGCCAGTCCTGTGCTTTGGAGGACTATTTTCATGCCTTCTCTTTCTGCCCTGTCCTTGGCCTCTTCAAATGGCCCGTGCTGATCTGCATTCACTCTCACACTGTGCAAGCCAGTGCCTTCCCCTGCACCGTCAGGTCTGTGTTGCCCGGTGCCTGAGGGCACAGGAAGCTTTGCCGCTGGAGGAGAGGGTCTGCGGTGAGGCGGAGCGGGCGTGGAAGGGTGAGTTTCTGTCAGGACCCCACCCAAATTTATTGTTCTTTCCTGCCTCTCTCCTGCGTTTCCTTTAATGCTCCACTGTGATTCTCTTCTGCTCAGAGTACTGTGCTCCTGGGTCATGAGCATGTAAGGTGTTCCTGATGGTTTTGGCACATCATTAGGGCGCACCCAGCCATCTGTGCCTGGGGGTTGTACTCTGTCTGCTTTCTGCGGTAATCTGTGCCACACGTGGCCAGCTGTGGGCTCTGGATGTGCAGAAAACAGTGATTCCTGGAGGACAGAATATGGCGCAGGGTATCTCATTATTCCTGACTCTCCTTTTCCTGTTTGTTCTCCTTCTGTGCCTCTTCTTCCCTCTTCTCCCTCTTCCCCCTCCGCCTCTTCTCCTACTTCGTCCTCTTCTCCCTCTTCTTCTTTTTCTTCTTCTAATGTCTCTAGTTTAGAGATAAATGAAGTGACAAAATGACAAGTTTTTCTCAGATGCATCAGTGTTTTCTCATCATCTTCCCACCTCTGCCCTTGAATTCTTATTTGCAATTTCTTTGTTCTCAGAATAAAGGAAAGGAGGGATTTCTTTGTCTTCCCAGAGGTACATTTGTGTCGTGTTGTGTTCTTCTCAGAAACCTGGGCTTCGCTCTGTTCCCCCTCCCTGTGCTCTCCACTGTCCTTGTTCAGTCCCCTCCCATCTTCCACTTGGGGATCCCGTTTCCCCTGCTCTTTGTCCTCTTCATGTCTTCTCTCCTGTTCTTTCCTCTCTTCCTCCACTCTTACTTGCTTTTCTACCTCTTCATCTACTTTCTTCTGCTCTTTCCCTTGCACCTCTCTCTTCCCGTCAGCTCCTGGCCCTTTATCTTCAGCAGTGCTCCCATGCGCTACAGCTTTGCTGTCCACTCCCCCCTGCTCCTTCCTACCTTCATCCACCTTCCCTTCCTCTTCAGTTCTCCTGTCCACTTTCCCTTGCTCTTTAATGTTTTTATCTACTTTCTTCTCTTCTTTCCTCTCTCCATCCTCTCTCCTTTTCTCCTCAACTTTCCCATCCACTTTCCTTTGCTCTTGATCTTTTTGGTCCACTTTCTCTTTTTCTTTCCTGCCTCCTTCCACTTTTCCTTGCTCTTTAACCATTCTGTCCACTTTCTCCTGTTCTTTCCTCTCTCCTTGCACTATCCCTTGCCCTTCAGCTCCTTCGTTCTCTTGCCCTTCTCCATCCTCGCTCTCTTCCTCGTCACCTTTTCTGTCCACTCCGCCTTGATCCTCAATGCCTGTGTCCTCTGTCTCCTCCGCATCCTCGCTCTCTTCTTCACCTTTTCTGTCCACCCTGCCTTGACCTCTAATTTCTGTTTCCACTTCTCCTCGCTCTCCAACTTTTCCATCTGCTCCCTCGTTCCTCTCTCCAATCACTCTCCCTTGCCCCCTTCCTTCTCCATGCACTCCCTCTTCCTCTTCAACTTCTCTGTCCACTTTCCCTCCTCCATTCACAATCTTCTGCTCTTCTCTTCCTCTGTCCGCTCCCTCTTGCTCTTTCCTATCTCTGTCCACTTTCACTCGATCTTTCCTCTCTCCATCCGTCTTGTCCATCCACCTTTTCTTGCTCTTTCCTTTCATTATCGACGCTCCTCTGCTCTTCAACTTCTCCATCCACTTTCCCTTGCTCTCTCCTCTTTCCTTGCTCTTGAACCTGTCTGCCCTCTTTATCTTGCTCTTTGCTCTCTGGGCCGATTCCTGTTGCTCTTCCCTTTCTCCCCCAAATCTCCTGTGGTCTTCACCTTCTCTGCCCGCTTTCCCTGGCCCTTTCTTCTCTCCAGTCACTCTTGCTTGTGCTTTTCCTTCTCCATGCGCTCTCCCTTTCTCTCCACCTTTTCCGTCTACTTTCTCCCGTTCTGCCCTCTGCTCACCTCCCCCCTTGCTCTTCCCCTTCTCCACTCCCTCTCTCTTGCCCTTCCCCCTCTCTGACCAGCGTCCCTCTTCCCCCTCCTTCTCCATGCACTCCTTACTCTTCACCCTTTCTGTCCACTTCGTCTTGGTCTTTGCACTCTGGGTGCTCCCCACCAGCTCCTTCCCTCCCGCGGTCACTCTCCCTTGCTCCTTCCTCTGCCTCTCCACTTTCTCTTGCTCTTTTCTGTCTCCGTCCACTCTCCCTGCATCTTTTCTGTCCACATCGCCTTGCTTCTCCCTCTCTAGGTCCACTTTCCCTTTCTCTTTATCGTTTCTGTCCATCGTCCTCTGCTCGCTCTTCTCTCCATCCAGTCTCCTGTGCTCTTCAACTCTCCTGTCTACTTTCTGGAGGTCTTTTTTCTCTGTGTCCACCCTCCCTTGCTCTTTCATCTCTCCACCCACTCTCCCTTGCTCTTCCCTTTTTTCATGCATCTTCTCCTGCCCTTGCCTTTCTGACTCCACTTTGCTTTCCTCTTTCCTCTCTCCATCCTCTCTCCTTTGCTCTTCGTCTTCTCCCTCCACTTTCTCTTGCTCTTTCCTCTCTCCGTCCACTCTCTCTTGCTCTTTACCTTTCTCGTCCATCTCCCCTTGCTCTTTTACTTCTCTGTCCACTCTCCTTTGCTTGTCACCTGTTCTGTCCAGTTTCTCTGGCTCCTTACATGTTGCCTCTTTCAATTCCTGGAGTGTCAGCGATGGAAGACAGAACTGGTTTAATCCTTCCACAAATATCTCCTTCGTTCTGGAATCCCATTCCACATGAGTTGAAAGAAAGATGGAATCCCAGGATTTGTTCTGAACTACATCTAGATTATGTTTCCCTTTCTTCTGCATGATCTCTAGTTCTTGTTTCTTACTGTCACACCCTGCCTTCTTTCCATGCAGTATTTGTCTAAATGGTGAGTTCTTCCTCCTCAGGGCGGTACATATGAGGTCCAGTATAACTTTTATGTCTACGATATTTTTTCCAGTTTCCTCCTCCTTTTGCAGCAAACATTTTGACTCCAGTGCAGTGTGCAAACTCTCACAAATAGCTGAGTCTGCTAAGGATATTCTTTTAACATTTGATGGTGCCTGGGACTTTGGTGGCATCGGGCAGCTCTTTAGTATTCTTGGCTTATCTTCTCCTACTTCTGTTCTTGAATACAAATTAAGCTGTGATACAGAGGGTGAAAAAACGCAAGAGCTCATCAGTTTCTGCTCTAATTTATCTTCTTGCACCTTGCTGTCTTGTTTTATTCTGTGCAACAGCAAAGGGAATTCCTTTCCACCAAGGACATAGGGCAGTACATCTTTTTCTAACTTCAAAGTAATTTTACGGCCCATTGTTCCTTTCATTTCCAGTGGTTTTGCTCTGTCCTTTTCTTTGTGTGAAGTATGTTGTTCTGTTCTTTTTACATTATTTGAGAAACTCATCCTGACATGAGGTAAAGAAGGGATGGGATCATATACTTTTGTCATAACCAAACCTGTTTCATTCTTGCTTTGTTTCACATTGACCATTTTCTCTTTTATGTTGCACTGCAGTTTGAGTCTATTGACTGAGTTATCATAGGCAGGGTCATTAACTATATTCTTCAATGTGAGAGCACTTCTAGGGGGGCGTATTTTGTCTTTCATAGCTCTTCGTTTCATGCTATCCTCCTGTCTTTGACTTTCATACAGTAGAGATATAATTCCAGAAAAAGAACGTAAAATTATCCTCGGTAGATATGCTTCTTTGTGTTCATTATGTGTTTCCATGTGCTTTCTAACTCCTAATTTGGGTGAGCTACCATTTGGCTTGATTACCTGTGCCCCATCTGATGATCTTTTTCCTTTTAAAAGTAAATGACTCTCATATTTTGTAGTTTTACCAGATGATTCTAAAAGCAGCATTGTAGTTTGTTTTCTCAATTGCCTTGGAGTAACTGGGGGTGCAGTAGATTCCTGCCCATATTGACATATAGCACTCAGACGATCTTTAGGGGACAAGTATGCTGCTTTTGTCTTGCTTGACATGTTGCCTACTGCAGATAATGCTTGCTCTTTCTCATGCATTAAACATGGCTGGAGCTGTAGACAAAGTGGGGTATAAGATAAATGTTCCTCCACATTCTCAGCGGAGACTGCCAGACGCTGTGGCTCAGTTCCCTTTTTAATTCTAGCGTTTCCATCTGTAACATACACTTGCTGTAATGCTGCTGTATTCTGTGAAGTGGAATAATCCCAGTATGTAGTGTTCACAGCACCTCCCTTTCCTTGTTGCACTGGCATATTAATCTGAAGTAGATCTGCTTTGGAGTGAGATGTGAGCTTTGGAAGAGCTTTGTGTAAATTTATTTCTTGCTGTTCTCCCTTTTCTGTAGTTGAAGTGTGGTACCCCAGACTATCTACTGACGTTACCACTTTCTTTACCAATGAGGATACAATCTGATGTATATCTATTGGAAGATTGGAAGCAGATGCTGGAAGAGTCTTGCCTCTACTTTTTGGTTGATACTCTTTTCTTCCCCCAATTTGCACATTAAGTCCCTTTGCCTTTGGAGGTTGACCCTCTGGACTACTAACTTTATTTGATGCTTTCTCTACTGTGGTGCTTGAAAGTTTTGATTTTAAGGTTGCTTTTGATGGGACTTGTGTTTTTGGAACTTCAGCATTAAGTTGATGCATTATGCAAGAAAAAATGGATTTTAAAAGAATTTCTTCATTCTCTTCATAAATGTTCAGTTTGTTTACCCTTAATGTTTTTGAAAAGTCTAATTTTTGTATATTTGATTGTAATGGGGTGTTGGTTAAATTTGATTGTCTTAGTCCCCATGGCTTTACATTGAAATGTAGAGACAAGCCTTCCTGTGACTGTATTCTTTGTAGCCTATCTGTCACTGTTACTCTGTTACACTCGTTCAAGTTAAGGGACACCATCAATGGTGATAAAATAGTACTTAGGAATATAGGCGCACCTTGTTTCGTCTTGGGTTTGGAGTAGCATCCTAACTGCCTTTGGTGGCTTGTTATGTCACATCCTGCAATATTAAATGTCTTTGCCTTCTTCGCCTTCAAAATTACACGTTTGGGGCTCATTTTATGGGTCTTGTCCATACATTCTAACATGCCTGTCTCTATTTCAGGTACCGGTGAAGCAAGTTTAGAGAAAATGAAGGATTCCAGAGCGGTTGTGGGTGATTTTAGGGCTAATCCTTTCCTTTTTTCTGTTACTGAATCATGCAGCACAGTATTATGAAACCTGTCAGATAGGACCCTAGAGCATACTAAAAAGTTGGTAGTCTGTGATTTCAGGGTCTTTGGTGGTAAATATTTAGGATGACCGTGCCGTGGAATATTAAAAATCTTAGAAATCGGTGCCTTCCTTGCCTTCGCAATTGGAAAGCATCTTTGCCTGTGCAGTGCGCTCAATGGTAACTCCTCCTTATCTAAGAATTGTGGGTACGGATCCTCCACACTTGGTAAGTCCTTCTGTACTTCCATCCTTCTGTTTGGGTTCATCTGGGGAGGTGACACGAGTTTCTGGCTAGGTTCTGACATAACCTCTGAAGGCATCTCATGCTGTGGAACACGTGGATCAAATGCCAGCTTATTTGGGTCCTTAGGAGTCTCTGTTCTCCCGCAGTTTGTTTCTAAGAATGAGGAACTAAGTGCTTTTAGTTCATTAGCATTGGTTGTGAAAGCTGGTTCTAGCTGATGTAACATGCTTGGAGAGATGGAGTTCAGTTCTTTACTTTTTTTGTCATACACTTTTATATTTTTAATAATGCCTGAGATTTCTTGCTGAGTGGAACCTGAAAAGTTGATTTCCTCTGTATCTTTAGACCTATTTTGCTTCTGCAGAAAAAATCCGCATTTTATTAAGGTTGGCATTATTTTCAATAGTTTTTTTCTGAAATGCTTTTTCATGGAAGGAGTCATAAGCTTGGAGACAGAAATAAGATGCAAAGGTGCATCTGCTTTTTCTTTCCTTTGTTGGTATTCTTGCTTTTCAGTGTTGTTCTTGCATTCTGACTCATTCCTATTTTTTGAAGAGTGATGGGCTTTGACTTGAAATACCTGACAGCATGGTGTTTTCTTTGCTTTCGTAGGTGGAACTTTAAGCTTGAGTTTCCTTTCACCATTTGGTAATTTTCTTTTGTTTTTCAGCCCTTTAATGGTAGGTAAAAGAGGCATCAAGATACATACAGAATGCCGATTTAAGTTTGATGGAGTAATTAGTTTTGAAACATCTTCAGCAACTAAATTTGGACTTAAAACTAAAAGTACAAGCTCAGTATTCTTATATACACTGTTCTTTCCCTCAGGTGAATTTTGAATCTTGTCTGAATCTTCAAACTGGGCAGCATATTTGGCTCCATGTAAGTTCTCACCAGACTCTAGGCTCTTGATTACGTTTTTTGTCTCAACAGTATCAGGGGCTGTGATGAACTGTTGGCTTACATCTGTATCCTGGGTCTGTACCGAGTCTTCCGTGTTGGTGGAATGTGGTTTGCTTGTCAACTCTTGAGGCTGAGCAAAACAGCTGACCTTGGTACCAGGCTGCATGTTGACTGGGTTTCTGTTTTGAATAAATTGTTGGGCTTGGCTAGTAGCTTGTGCTTCATAAAACTCATCATTCTGAATAATATTTTGTCCTGGAAAAGAATCTTGTGCTTGGGCAGAAATAACCATGTCAACAGAATGTTGATTCTGAACCAGAGGCTTTTGAGATCCTGAGTACAGATTAATAGCTTCATTTATTAATGTAGCTTTAAGTTTTGAAGTAATTTTATTGCTCATATTTGCTTCCAGAAGTCTAACTTGGTCTTTGGTAAGAAATAAATGAGCAGGAGGGCATGATGTCACATCAAGCTCTTCATTTGTCACAGTGAATTCAGAAATTTTTAAAAAACTAAAGTCACAAGACGATTTTGAGTTTTTCTTTTTGTTGGTCTTCATTAGTGAGAATAATTCCTTCGAGGACAATATTGTTTCATATTCATTTTCTGGGTGCAGTCCATGGCTTAGGAAACATTTTCTTGATTTTGAGTGAAGTAATAACAAAGATGAGCTGGTCCTATCTGAAGATGAGTTACTTCTGTAACCTGCTTGATGTTCACTGGTACCTGCCTGGATTATTTCACTCAATGATAAACTACTGTCTTCAGAGTTGCCTTCATTTTGTTCAGATGTAAGTGTTGAAGTAATTCTTCCTGGAAAGGTGTTAATTCTGAAATATAAGAAAATAATATGCAACTGAACTGTCATTTAGGATATTATGTGTTACAAGGACTTGAGTGTTCAGGAGACTCACTCTTCAATATGAAAATGGATCCATATGGAGATAGAGGGAAACTGATTATCCACATAAAAACATTCATTACCTAGTTGCTTTCTACTAATAGGCTAATCAATTGATGAGGAAAGTAAATCAGTTATTTTTCAGAGAGTGAAAGAATTTACCTCAATCAAATTTTTTTATTTTAAAAAGTAAAGCAGAAAAAAGGGATAACAGTGATACAGAATTTTTTAAAAAGTTGGAAATTATACATATATATATATATATACACACATATGTTGGTAAATGTATATAAAGGTATACATATGTATTTGTATGCAAGATAAGTAACTACAGTATCAACTTCTGTCAGTTGATCAAAAAGTTGTCATTGTTTGATCAATTAATTTTTTTTTTTTGTCTTTTTCATTTTTATCGGTACCAGGGATTGAACTCACGACTGCCTGCTTGAAGGCAGGCGCTTATGCCGCTGAGCTAAATCCCCAGCCCCTGATCAATTAATTTTTGATAGCAGTGAACTAAAGCAGCAAGATTATATTCTTTAAGAAACAACATTAGGTTGGCCATAACCACTAATATAAATGGCCTCCATTCACCAATAAAAAGAAACACAGGCAGCGTGGCTCAGGAGACAGGATCCATCAATATGCTGTCTATAAGAAACACATTTAACCCAAAAGGGGGTTTATAGACTGAAAGTCAAAGGTGAGAAAACAATGCTCTACATGACAGGGAACCAGAAAAAAGTGGGGGCAGCCTGCCCATCAGATGCAGGTTGGTTAGAAAGCCATGACACTTTTATAAAGTGGAAAACTACTCAGTTATAAAGTGTTGTGGGTATTTCTATGAGAGTGTTTTGGGGAGGAGCTTAACATTTAAATCAGCAAACTCTGAGGAAAGCCTACTGTTCCCCCTATTGTGGGGAGGCCTCATCCTATCAGCTTGTATAGTACAAAAGACGGATCTTTGTGCAGAAAAAGGAAATTCTCTGGCAGTCTCTGCACTTCAAGCTTCACATTTTAGACTTGCTAGACACCAAAACTGTATGGATCAATTTAAAAGATGACAGACAGACAGATAGATAGATAATCAGTAGACAGATCTGTTTCTCTGGAGAACTCTTGTCTAACTTATTATCTACACAAATTCTTGGACCTTCCTCTACTCATGTGGAATCAGAAGATCCAGTGAAGGAGCCCAGGAACTGGAGTTTTAATAAGTCCCACCGGTGACTCCAACACATAACAAATACTGAAAGTCACTGTCTTCTGGAAGGACAAGCCTAAAATCAAAACTGCAACGCATAAACTAAGTCAGATAACTCACTAGCTACTTCTTTGAGGATCACAAATGACCTCATAGTTTACAGGAAGCGTAACCTTACTTTTAAGTAAAGCTGTTGAACAAAATGGTTAAGACAGTATATGAAATCATCATGATCTACTAAACCATAGAAATTGCTTGTGCTAAGTGATTATATAGCAACATCTCATTAATTTGGATTTGGTTAATATTTTTAGGCTACAGTAGTGATTATATGTATTCACAGCATAAGAATCCTAGGAAAATATTTCAAAAATGTTAACTAGTTTTCAGGTTTCCTCAATTGTTATTTATTAACGTCCAATATGTAGGCTGTGTTAGGGGCTGAATTGTATTTCTGCAAATTCCTATGTTGAATTCCTCTTAGGACCTTGGAATGGGACCATATTTGGAGCTACGGTTTTTATATAGTGAATTAGGGTCTAATGAAGTCTATTTCTGGGCTCTCCCCTATACGACTATTTAAAGGTTAAGTCTCTAAAAGGTACTGGGGTTAAAGTAATCCCTTAGGGCGAGGGTCCTATAAAATGAGAAAATTCGGAATGTCCTAAATTTAAGTACAGAGGTCCAAAGGATGGAAGAGAGGAGTGAGGAGTGAGGAGTGAGTTGGTTGTTAACAAGCTACAGGCCAAAAAAAATAGCAAGGCTCTTCATACTCTTAAATGTACCTGGAAATCTTAGCCTCTATCCCATTATGACTCCCTGAGTGTCACTGTATCCTGCTTATGACCCCACCCAGTCCAGAAGCAACACTAACTTCTCCTGGGCTCCTGGCATCCCAAAGCTTTCCTGCTTTGTAGGTTCATCATAAACAACCTGTGCCTCCTGACTCCCACTTTTCATTATTAAAATGTGCTCTTAGCACTGGCCCAAAGGAGAGTTTTCCAGCTACTTCCTAGGCTTGCTGCTGGGGCGATGGTAATGTGTCACAGGACTGGCCTTACTTCCTGGCTGGCACCTGTAATAGTACAAGAAATGCTTTTCTTTTGGAAATCTCTGACTCCAGAGTTTTGGTGAGTTCTTAAGAGTTCTCAACTTTTATTATGAAGATGAAATCTGGATAAAGGGACATTGCGTGCTGAGAAAAGATTGTGGGAAGACACAAGAAAGCGCTCATCTCCAAGCTGAGGAGAGAGCCCTCAGGAGAAACCAAACCTGATACCGATACCCTGATGTTGGACTCATCAGCTCCAGAACTGTGAGAAAATAAATTTCTGTTGCTTATGGGACTTACCTAAAGTATGTTATGATGACAGCCTCCGCAGACTAATATAGGCTGTCTTATACATTTATTAAATATACATTAATTTTAGTGTAATCCATGATATTAAGTTCAGTCCTTAGAAAAACTTCAAACTTGGAGTTGGATTAATGATCATGACCCATTTGACTCTTGATGACTAGGCTCAGTCCAACAGGAATTTCATGGTCCATTAATTAGCAATGGGCATAATCTAATCTTAGCATAAAGAAGTCCTAAAACAAACCATTCTCCAATTCCGTGTAAGATGAGCAGTATTCTTTGCTCACAGAGACTAAGCAGTACATAAGTCTACCATTTGTGAAATGTCCTTTGTCTTCTGGCCTTGCTCTGAGATTTTAAAAGGAACATTTTAATAATTATGAGAGATAGCTTTATAACACAGTAAGAAGCAGAACTGGATGCAAAGGGATCCACAGTAGTCCACAGTCAGAACGTCACACACCGAATCTGCTTCTTTTATCTATCAATGATAACTCACTTCAGGAAATATGCTTCTGAAACTAACTGATGACTGGCAGATTCAAGTGTTGAAAACCAGGTAACTGGTGGTGAATTGACCTATCACCAAGCCTCTGCGGATGAGGTTGACCACACAGCCGGTCCCTAAACCCACTATAAGAGCAGGAGCTGGCTTTGCTCCGAGATCATGCCTGGCCAGCTTGGCTCCCCCCAGTTTTCAGATCCCCAACGCCCATCTCACCCTTTGTGCCATTTGGTCCTAAGCCTTACACCATCTCACCCAGCCTCCCGCCTTCTGCCCACCCACCTTCCTATCTCATTCCACAGTGAGAAAATTGCATCCACTCACTGGATCTCTAGTGCTGTGCACTTACTGATTCTTTTTTTGCCTGTGCTTCTACAAATATTCAAGCCTTTCTATTTCAAAATACTTATTAAGATGCTATTCCAAATATAGTTCTGTCCTAAGAGCAGATTTAAGTGCCAGGGTAAAATATTTTTGCTGTTTCACATATCATTTTAACTCATCTCTGTGATGTTCCTAGGAGGGAATTCTTCTAAGCCTATTTTGAAAATAAAGAAACAGAGGTAAAGTGAGTTGAAATCACTGGCTCAATGCCATGACACAGTAAGAAGCAGAACTATGATATAAACTTAGGTCCTTGTAAACCCAAAATGTGTGGGGGTTTTTCATGACCATTGGCTAGTGCTAGAGGAGCCTTAACTCTTCAATCCTTTTCCCTCACTGCCACCACCACACTAACATCACAGGTTCCCTTGTTTTCAGGGATATGTTCCAAGACGCCCAGTGATGCATGAAACCCACAGACAGTACCAAATCCTGTGTCTTCCCTATAGATATATGATACCCAAGATAAGTTTAACTAATGACAGATTCATGATCAAACCCAGGGCCTCACCTGTTAGGAGAGTGCTCTAATACTCAGCTATGCCCTAGTCTCTTAAACTTTAATTTATAAATTAGGCACATTGAGAGAACAACAATAATAAAATAATTACAATATAGTATAATAAGGCTGGGGATATAGCTCAGCAGCACAGTGCCTGTCTGGCAAGCACAGGATCCTGAGTTCAATCCCTGGTACAAAAAACAGAAAAGAAAAGGAAAAAACCCCAATGTACTATAAGAAAGCTATATGAATATGGTCTCTTTCTGTCTCAAAATCTTATTTTATTTCTGCATTGTCATTTAAAGGCAACAGTTTACAGCTTCGCTCTCGCACATCTTAATTGTCATCATCACTACTACTGTGTTTTGGGCCATCAACTAAAATAAGGGTTGCCTGACACAAGCCCTGTGATACTGGGACTTTTTATGATAAGCAAGTTGCAGCTAAGTGACTAAGAGGAAGAGAACAGGATCCGTGTGAGTACATGGGGCCACGAGGTAACTCATGTTCTGGGGAGGACACAGCAGGTTAGCTTGAGATTGGAGCCTTCAATGTGCTGCTCAGAATGGCATGAAATATAAAATGCATGAGTTGTTTATTTCTGGAATTTTCTGTTTAATATTTCCAAACCATTGTTGACCTTGGGTAACTGAAATGGACAGTAACCACTGAAGTGCTTCAGTACACAGGTTCTGTCTGTGTGGAAAGGAAAACCTAGGATGGGGTGACTGTTGTACCTCTCCCTCACATTCCCTACAGAGCCACACCAGGGATGAAGCCCTGCCTAGGCAGGGAAGGAGTAAGGGCACAGAGAGGGGAAAGCTTTGGTCTCCTCGATTCAGAAGCTAACAAAACTTTCCTCCCTCTCTTTTCTCAGGACTTTCTCTTGGCTGTCGACCTGCTGGTTTTGAATCCCTTATGAATTTGGGGTCCCTTGCATTCCTCACCCCTGTAATGTCCCAAATACTGGCTCTCGGTCTGTCCGACTGGATGTCCTCTGGCTGCGCTACTGAGGGGCTCCCGTGTGTGCTGGCGCTCTGCTCCCAGCCAGTCCTGACAGGGATTCTACCTCCTGTACCTCCACATGCTGTGACAGCTTCCCAAGACGCCCACCCTAGGACCAGAGTTGCTAGGACCCACTACGCCAAAAAAGCAACCAGGTATAATTAATGAAGTGTCCCTAACATGACGAGTGAAAGCAACTAGACTAGCATCAGGCATCTTGAGAGTTACTCTCCACGAAGCACCTGGTGCTCTAGCTGGCCTATAAAGCACCTCTGCACTGAAGCATGTCAGTGGTTTCTGTCCACTGAACCAAACCCAAACTTCTGACTCCTACGTTCACCTCCCACCGCTTCTTGCCTCAATATTAATATCCAGCAATTTTGAAGCAAGTATCATTTCCTTCAAACGCCTGCTGTTTCTTATTTCCTGGCCTTTGCTCATGTTCTGGGATTCCTTCTAGGCTAATTTTCATTCCTCCTTTTAGGATTGTCTCCAGCATTAAATTTCATGAGAACGTTCCCAGCCCCACTAGGCTAGCTTAGCTACCTCTCCGATGTTCTTATATTTCTAGCCCTTGTGTCTCTATACTGTGAGGAAACCAACCTTTAGTGCGTATGTCTCTGCAGAAGAACAAATACTTCTTAAAGACAGTCTTACTGTGTGTGTCCTAGTGTCAGCATTCATTAAACAGTAGACAACTAATAATTATTGAATACTTTTCAATTAAAAAACCCTAAAATATCCAAGGCAACAAAAGTAGAAAAGATATCAATATTTAATCCCTAGCCCTGAGATACTTTCAGTGTGCTGATAGATTCTGACTGTGTAAACTCCTTTAATGTCACCATCACAGCACAGAGCTCTGTTATCCTGGTCCAGAGTAGATGTTAATTGAGAAGTGGTTCTTCCTATTTCTGTGTGTGTAGCATAGAGAAAACTTACAGTGAGAAATCAAATTATTTAACCTCTCAGCTTTTTCTTCAGTAATACTTGTGATAATACTTATAAATAATAATACTTATATTACCCATCTTGAAAGATAATTTCAGTAGTATGTGAAAAGCTCCTACCACAGCTTGGAACATAGTAACCATTAAAAAAACCATTAGATTGAATTGTGAAGAACAGCTACAGTCCATTATTTATATGGGAAAATCCTCTAAATTTCAGAAGTGCAATTTTGAATAGAATGTAACCAGTCTTATTTAATTCCAAAACATATCACTTACCTATGTCCTGCATGAACAGTATCTCTCCAATTACTTACACCTAAATGGAAATTTAAAAGTCACAATATCAGGATAAGAAATTCAGGCTAATCAAGTTTCATCATATTAAAACATGAAACTGTGATATTTACCAAGTTTTATCTTTTTCTGGTGACTGTCTTCTTTCTGTTTTGAGGCAGAAAACAATATGTTAGAAAGGTAACCCAAATATTAAAAGTTTGAAAATTTTACAGATTATTCCTATGTCTAATTTTGAAAAATAAGAAAGGAGGAAATTAATCATACATGCTTACCTTCTGGAAAGATGAACATGAACACTCTTTGTTTGGATGCACAGTCTTCTTCCAAAGATATGTCCAAATTTTTATGAGTATTAACTCAAGAGTAACTACTATGAAAACTATAAGAAAGATTGCCACCCAATGATTTTGAAAAACCCAGGACTCTAGAAAGTCCTGTACTGTCAAAAGTGTCCTAACTTCCAATATACTCCCAATTTTACTCTTAAGGAAATCATATGGCTTTGATATTTTGCAGTAACATGTGAAATAGATTGGTATCTCATTCAGAAGTCCTTGCCACAATGTTTGTACACCCATCTCGTAGCCATGCGTACAGCTCTCCCAGAAAAAGTTTCCAGGACAAGGCAGTGCCTCAACTGTAGCAGTGATTGCTCTGGGTTGCAGGTAAGTGAGGTCCATGTCATAGTGGGCATTAACATAGCTCACAGCAGCTACAGCAAGCATGAAAGTTCATTGGCGAGACACAAAAGGACAAGTACAGTGCATAGCTTTGTAATGCAGGATCATCTGTCAATTTCATAACTCCATAATTCTGTACACAATCTCAGTGTAATTGTATTATCACTGCCTTAAAGTTTAAAAATGCAGAATACGTTTGAATTGATAGCACTTGATATAATTATTTCAATTAATGTATTTTATGCTTCTTTGGGTTCAGAAAAATGTAGTACTAGTTTAGAAAGAATATAGAGTTGACAAATTTAGCAAATAAAGATACTGGATGTGCAATTTAATTTGAATGTCTGCATGAAATTTAAATACTGTACTAATAATTTTTATTATAATTATCCCCCATTACCACCATGTAGGATATAAGGTAACTTGTTTTTTAGGAGCCTGTCTGAATTATTTTTCTGAAAATAGAACGTTTAATTTTATATTTCTTTTTGCTAGAGAGCTCTGTTGGCGAGTTCCCCTTCACCAATCTATTAATATATTTTAAGCCAAAATTAGATGTGATGAATTTTCCTTTTGCAGTGTTGATGGTGTATAATCTTCTTGGTGATTTATTGCATTCTATTTGCCAGTATTTTCTAGCACTTTTGCATCTGTGTTCATTAGGGAGATCAGCCTGTATTTCTCTTTTTTGGTTTGATCCTCCTCTGGTTTGGTATCAAGATAATGCTTGCTTCCAGGAGTGAACCTGGGAGAACTGCTTCTCTTTCAGTTTCATTAAAGAGTTTGAGTAGCAGCAGTGTTAGATGTTTTCTAAATATCTTGAAGAATTCAGCATTGGATCTTTCAGAACCTGGGCTTTTCTCTGTTGGTAGGTTTTTAATTACTACTTCAATTTTGTTGACTGATACTGGTTTATTTATAATTGCATATATTCTTGATTCAGCTTATTAAGTCACATGTATCTAAGACTCTCTCCATGTTTATGTTTTCAATCTTATTAAAATATGAGTTCTTGAAGTAGGTATTGACAATCTTCTGGATTTCTGAAGGATCTGTTGTGATTTCACCCTTTTCATTCCAACTTGTATGAATTTGAGTCTATTCTTTCCTTATTTGAAATAAAATTGGGTATTTGTCACTTTTATTTAATATTTCAAAGAACCAACCTTTCAATTCATTGATTCTATTGTTTTCTTAGTGTCCACTGCATTAGTTTCTATTCCAATCTTTATAATTCCCTCCTTTGCAAAAGCTATAGGACTTGTTTTTCTTTTTTCTAGACGCTTAGGGTTCAACATTATGTTGTTTGAGTACATTGTTTTTCTTATGTTATACCACCACTATAAATTTTTCCTGTAGAACTGCTTTCATCACGTTGCTTAAATTTCAGGATGTTGTATTGGCATTATTATTTAATTGCAGAAAATATTTTCTTCTTTAATTTCACCCATAACCCATTTGTTGGGAGAGTAGTATTTAATTTCCATGTGTTTATCAGATTTGTTCCCCATCAATTTCCAATTTCACTGCACTATGATTCAATAATATGTATTGGGTCTTTTCAGTTCCTTTGCATATACTTATGTTCTGTAAGGTAGCATGTGGTCTGTTTTGGAAAAAGTTCTGAATGCATCTGAGAAAAATGTGTATACTGTGTGGGATGAAACACTGTAGATATTTACTAAGTCCATCTGTTCAAAGATTTGGTTCAGCCCTGATATTTGTTGAATTTTTTCTAGTTGATCAGTCTGTGAGGTATTGACATCCCCCGTTCCAATTGCATTAAACCTTGATATTTTTATATGTTACTGCTTTATATAATTGAGTCTGCTGGGGCTTGCTGCATATATATTTATGATTGTTATCTCTTCCTCTTGGATTGTTCCCTTAACAAGTATTAGTGACCTTTTTTGTCTCTCTTGATAAGTCTTGGTTTGAAATATTTTGTCTACAAATAGAATAGATATTCTACTTTCTTCTGGGTTCCTGTCACATGGAGTACTGTTTTCCCTCTTTTGACTTTTACCCTATTAATTTCTAAGTTAGATGTGTTTCTTGTATGCAGCATTATTGTTGGATGTTTTTCTTGATCCATTCTGCCAGTCTGTTTCTTTTGATTGGTGAGCTGAGATTGTTTACATTGACGGTTATAATTGGTGTATATTGACTTGTCCTTGTCATATTATTTTTCTTTTGTTGGTTCTCTTTTCTTTTCCTTCTGTTAATTTGCTTGCCTTGACTAATGGATTCATTGTATTGGGGTTCATGGAACTGTTGTCCTCATTGTCTTTCTAGAATATCCTTTAGAACTTTTTAGAGTTCTGATTTAGTATTCATGAATTTCCTCAGGTGTTCTTTTTCATGGAATTATCTTATTTCTCCATCAATTTAAAAAGATAGTTTTGTGGGGTGCATCAGTATGGGTTGGAGGTTATTTTCTTTTAGGGCTTGAAATACTTAAAACTCTTTTCAACGTAAGGCTTTGGGTTGAGAAGTCTGCTGTGATTCTGATAGGTCTTCCTTTATAGATGATTTACTTATTTTCCCTAAGAGCTTTTAATATTCTGTTCTTGTGTTGAATTTCTGGAATCTTGACTATTGTGTGCCTTGGTATAGTTTTTTTCTGATCATGCATAACTGGAGTTCTGTATGCCTCACACCCTCTGCATGTCAAATTCTTCTTCCATACCTGGAAATTTTTCTGACATTACTTCTGTGAACGGATTTTCTAAAAATGGTTTTGAGCTTTCTTCTGATTTTTCATTGACTCTAATCAATCTTATGCTGATCTTCTTTCTATTGTGTAGCAGCTGTTGGATTGACTTTTTGTGGTCTCGCTATTTTTAAGAAATCTGTCATTTGATTGTCACTAATTGTAAACCTGTCTTCTGGATGTGTTCTGTCTTCACATTGGTTGCTTCTGTTGCATATACTTTCAATTCTATTTTTAATCTCTTTGATATGTATTAGATTGTTTTATGGAACTTATTTTTTGCTGTGTCGGGGATTCATGGTGTCCATGGTCTGTTTTTGTTTTTTTGTTTTTTTAACTGTGTCTCTTTTAGATTCACTAACCGTGTCCTTCACTATGATCATCATCTCTTTAGTTTCTAAGAAATTATTTCTGATTTTTTTTCTGTTCTCATTCATCTGCTGTTACTTCCGCTGCTACCATTTCAAAAAGTTCAGTGGGTGGTTTTGATATCTTCCACTTAATTCCACCCTGAATTTGCTTTGAGAAAGTGGAGGTCTCGGGTTGCATCTTCTCATTTTCTATTTTTTAAAAATTTGTTTTCTGCATTTATGCTTCTACATTGCTTGTTTGGTAGCATTATTATTAAGACTTCATTAAGAAATGACTACTTTTCAGAGTATATTCTAGTTGTAGCTGGCGTTTGGCTTAAATCTGCTCCAAGAGTGTACCTCTTCAATTTATTAGGGATGAGAAGTTGCTGCCAATTTGGCCTCGCTCTCAGTTCTTTGGTCCTGGACTATGGTATCTTATTCAATCTCAGTACTGTTGTACAAAGAAGAAAAACTACTTCACATTGCTAAAGCAGTGCAATGAGGAATAGCAATAGCTTCAAGCACAGCCTAGAAAATGACAAATTGTGGTAGCTATTACCTTTCCACCTTTAACCACAGGATCAAGAATTATATCACAAAAGCTAAAACAAACCAGAAAATTATACACAGTAACTATTCCCTCCATAGAGCAATTTTACCTGCAGGAGAGAAAATTTAAAAGGGTGAAGAGGAAGAGATAGAGAAGTAGAAGAAAAGAAAGAGATTAGAGGGAAGGCTGCAGGAGAAAGGAAGATTACCCAAGCTTTGGCAAACTGATGAAGATGGCAGGATGTTGGGGATCATAAATTAGAAAGTCACATAGTATCTGTACAGGGTCCTCCTTGCCCTGCCTTATGGGCTGGTTTTGGAATACAGAGATTCCACTTCCTCTCCGTCACCACAGAGATCTTGATGGTCGATGAGACTGTGATGCTCCAGAGCAGGATGAAGCTGCTGAGGACAATTCAAGGGACCCTTGTATCCAGCTGAATCTAATCTTGTTTCTTTCATGATGCTAAACTTGCCCACTCTACCACTGCTCTAAAGTACTTTTCCCCTCCTCATAAACTGGCTAGTAAAATAGTAGCTAACTGGAGATTCTTGGTCTTTGTTCCCAGAGAGCACTGAAGATCCCAGAGTCCTATTTCCTTGCACTTCTTGTTTCTTGCTCTTTTTTTCTTGCCATGGCCATAATTCCAGGCAGGAAACTGAGAAAAACAAACAAACAAAAAAAACAATTAGGCTAACACAGCTTCAGAAAATGGCAATTTGTAATCTAGAATAGAGGAAATTTTATAGAACAATAAATGCAAATATACCGAGGGAAAATCTTGCTGAAATAAGCACAGATAAACAGACGCCACATGTTCTACATGGAAGTTAAAAATGTTGATCTCAGTGATAAGAGTAGAATCATGTTTACTGGAGGCTAGAAAAGTTGGATGAGGGATGAGGGGAGGGTGTGTAATTTGTACAGGAGTACAGTTGGGTAGGAAGAACGACTTCTAATGTGCTACATTACTGTAGATTAACAAGGGTTGAAAACCATTAACTGTATGTTTCAAAACCTAGAAGAGATTATTTGAAATTTTCCAAACAGAAGTGCTTGATATTATGAATAAAAGAATTACCTTGGTCTGATCATTATACACTGTATACATATATGAAAATATGACAGTCCATCAGTGAGCTCAAATGTTAAGTATATATTAAAATACAAAGTGGGAAAAAAAGAAAGAACAATTAGGCTAGTAAAACTGTACAGATAGGAGAAAGAAGGAAAGAAGGAAGGGAAAGAAAAGACATTAATTTGTATATATCCGTAAGACAGCCAAGATGACTATACTACTAATTCTATTGGTTCTTGGAAAAGAACAGTTAATACTCATATGATTAGATCAATTTTGCATGTTCATATCTAGTAATCTAAGCAAACTTTTTGAAGATAACAATACACAATAGAACAACCATTGTTAAATTCCTATCATCCTGTTTGGAAATTCTGTATTTTTATTGTCTTGGGGTGGTCGTTGTCTCTTTTGCTTTTTTTTTTTTTTTCTTTTTTTCTCTAAAAAATTGTTTAGATGAGAACTGATGAAGTTTCAAGAGTGATGGCAGTGCAAACAAAAAGGAGAGATGTTTAAACACTAAAAATAGAAGATCCAGAAACTGGAAAGGAAATGTATCTGTAGACAGGAGAGGGCAGTGGAGTGGTGAAAGAGCCAATGGTTTGGGAGGAAGCCTTTAAAGAAATCTTAAGAAGTTTCTCACGTGGGCACTACAGACATTTTGGAGAGAATTTTTTTGCTGTGGCTATGGCATTACCTTTAGCGACAGCCCTCTCTAATCCTTATGACACCTAGGACCACCACATCCCAGCCCTGACAATCAACAATGTTTAATTTTCATCTCCAGCTTGAAAGAGGTGAGTATTTTGAATGGAGAGTAAGCCTTTTCCTAAGCGTTTATTTCAGCTGTAGAAACTCGGGGATAAACCAGCTTTAAAATGCTATCTATATCATCCTCCTATTTTGAAGCAATTTTTTCTTTTAGTAGTGATCAGGATTGAACTCACACAGAGTTACCTACATTAGTACCATAAGTTTTATCTTTGTTTGGTCACGTGTATTATGTGTACTTTAATTTTGTAAACCTGAATATTATTATAATTGCATAGCCTGGTTAGTAAACTTTTAAATCTATTGTTGTTGTACCTGTATAGTATGTTATAATTCATAATAAATTGCCCTTTTTATTTTCATATTTCACATTGATTTTACTTCTGGTTCACCATATTATTTCATAACTGATTTATAATTTTAATAGACCAGTGATTATTATTCAACAGCTCTGAATTTTTTTCACTTATCATCTTTCGATGCTTAAAATGTCAAATGTTTACTATCTTTAAAATTTGACTTTTCTTAAAAAAATTTAAGTCTTGCTCAGAAAGTAACCCCAAAAGAAACTATATACTAGGTGATGCAGGAAATTTGAATTTCTAGTTGTACATGATTTCATTCTGTAATATAAAATCTTGGGATGCTGATACCTAGGTTTTCATTTTTGATGCTATATTTTAAAAAGTAAAAAGTAACAATTAAAACCTATTGTCTACCAAGGCAAAAAGAATGAGAAACCCTAAAAGAGAAAGTTCTCTAGGCCACCCACAACTGTATGAAATGTCTACCATTAAAAGCATAGGAGAGAAATGAAATCCATGAAACAGATTTAACAGAGATCCAGAGATTAAAAGCTCCACTGAAAGTATGTGCAACAGATTGAACAAAGGACAAGATAGAATTTTTCAGATCTTAAAGACAGAATCACAACTAGTGATCATGAAAAGAAAGATATCTCAAAAATAGCAAGAGACCATGAGAAATCAATCCAACAGCTGAAAGATGAAGCAAAGGAGAATAACACAAGGTTGATTGGGGTCAATGAGAAAGCTGAAGACAGCACAAATGCCATAACAATCATTAATATATATGCACCTAACACAGGAGCACCCAACTATATAAAAGTTATAGGTAGACATGAAAAATCAAATGAGCAATAACACAGTTGTAATGAAAGACCGTAATACTCTATGGTCACAGAGAGATCAACTAGACAGAAAATCAGCAATGAAATACCAGACTGAACCAAACTGTGAACAAAAGGAGTTAATAGGAAGCAGCCACGTCCCGAGGCCATGCCACCACTGGGGGGGAGCTTCAGTGAACCACCCACCTGGGCCTCTCCAGCACTCCAGGAACCCCAAATTGGAAGGACGCAGGTGCCTAGTCCGGTCACTACACCAAGGCACTGGCAGTCAGTGCAGGAAGCACCTGGGATGCAGCAATGGGCTGATTGGGAGAAACACAGGGAAATATCAACATGAAGGAGCAAAATAGTCTCAGTCCTCGGCCCGGGTAAGTTCAAGAGACACAGATACAGTAGAAATCATAAGTCACACACCTGAAATTTCTGAAAAGATAACTACTGAAGTAAAAAGCAATTTGACTCTTAATAAGTGTTTCACTTTACATACCTATGTCTGATGGTCTGGACAGCTATTCTGAAGAGGCATTATGGTAACCATTGTTAATTTCCTATTATCTTTAAGTCCTGCATAATTTTCATTGTTTGGTCAATCTCGTTTTATGAAGTCTGATGGTATGGGCAACTATTTTGAAGTTAAGAGGATATACTACAGTAGCCAGTATTAATTTCCTATTATCTTGTTTTGAAGTCCTGTATCACTTCATTGTTTTGTTTTGATTGGCCTTATTGTTTGGTTTTATTCTCTTTAATTTTTAAAAAAAAAATTCTCAGGCAAAAAAGCAACAGGAAAGTGAGGGAATGGATAAATTTCTTAGAACACCATTTATTATTACAAATTTAACGTCAGCCTCACCATCCTGTGCATTTTATAGGATATATGTATCTCACCATATATCTTAACACTATTCAAAGCCCAGTTCAGGAAAATTTCCCCAGATACAATTAAGCCCTAATCTAACTCTGCCTAGAGTTAGCACATTGGTCTACTGCTTAGCCCTTAATTCTCTCCTTAATTGCGAGTGGCTACCTATGAACTCTGTATACTATGTAATTTAGTTTCCCAGTGCTGAGTATTTCTCCTTGGTAGGGCTTCAGTAAACACTTCCTGAAAGTTGTTCCTTCATTCTAAAAGCAGTGTTTGTACCCCATATCTGAAATGTATCCCCACTGTTCTTCCCTGAGATTCTTTGAAAGATGAGGTGAAGAGATGAATATACTCTATAAATCTGATTAGATTTAATGTAGTAAATTTGGTTTTTGTTCGGCAGAGCTTGGAATTCAAACAAGGCTTTGTGCATCTGAGGCTGAGTACTCTTCCACTGAGTAACACTCCAGTTCCTACTTCTTCTTTTAAAGATGACACTGCTGCACAAAATTTGAGTCCTTTCTCAGACAAATAAGACAAAAGCACTGCTGTAACAAAATTCAAATGTTTTAATTTTTTTTTCAAAACTTAACTATACTAATAAAAATAAATTATATTTAGACCACCTTCAATATTTGTACACCATATTCATACAACTATAACAGTGCTGTCAAAGACATTTGTAAAGTATATTAATTTCACAATTAAAAATGTGTTTCAAAAATAGGATAACATTAAAGAACATTAGTCTGAAATATATCTCAATGCTGAGAGGTATATTGTTATTTATCAAATTAACTGTATTGGTATTCAAAATAACATGGCTTTAACCCAATTATTTCTTGTCCATTTCAGTGATCTCCTGAATCCAAAACAAAATCTGTGTGTTTATTTCTTTGAAAACATCATTTGTTGACCGTCCTTTCACTGCCATGGAATGGTTTGCCTTCTCGATCCAGTAGATCTTAGTGGGAGCTTGCATTTTCTGTGCCACCTTCTCCAGCAAGTTCTGAGGGAGGGAAGCAAAGACAGTATTGGACATTCTGTCTTGATAAAACAATCTTCTCCTCACCCAGCCCATACCAACATCTATTCACCAATACTCATTCCTGCTGTACAGTAACTTTCTAGGCAATGGATGTGTAAGGAAAGGTCCACCCGCTTCGCTCAGATACAATGGGAGGGGGGGACAAACCAAGCATTTGATATTGACAAAAAATAAGAGACTCTCAAACATTAAAAATAGAAAAACAAAAAACCCACCTTTTTTCAAATGAGTTCTATGCTCTAGAAAACAGCTGCTTTGTAATACCGGATAATACTCAATAAAGGACAGACAGTGCCCAGCCTGTTCTGTCTCAAGAGTCTATTTTATAACCATCAGTCAGAATGGGGACATGATTAGAAATGACAACATTCAGATACAAATCCTTCATTTCCAAAAGTAAGAGTCAATCCATTTACCAAGTCTTTCCAGGGATAAGCATTTTGTTCGTTTTGCTTGCATTTTTAGGTTCTTCAAAGAACAGCCTAACAAGAGGACACTTAGCACTGGATTAGCACTGTCTGGCATTACACAAGTTAGACAATTATAATGGACAAGCTGTTTTTTTAAAAAGAGAGAAACAGATTCAATACCTTCAAATTATAGTAGACAAATAGAATGAAATTATGACAGGCATGTTACCCCTTTCTTAAAGGACTAAAGGTTGTAGGTAATAATTTTTCCCCATCATACTTGATTGCACTTTTTTTCTCATTCATATAAACATTGATTTGTAATTCACCTTTTCACACATTTCATCTGCAGAGCCTGATACAAACAGTACAGGATCTTTTAGACGGAAGAGGTCTTCGTCTCTGAGTTTATGCTGCTGCTTTGGATGGTGCAGTGGATAGGAAATACAAATGAGGCCCCGGACAAAGTCATCGGCTTCATCGGGCTCCACGTGACACATGACAGAGGCCGCCGCTCTGGAGCCCATTGAACGACCTAAAAGCAATTAAGATGAGACTTGGTTTGAAATACAAACATGTACATGAAGCAGTCGTGATAATGCGGCAAAAGCAGATTTTACTTACTGTTTAATGTTTTTGTTAACTGCAAAAATTATGTAACTTCAAAAGACAATAATTAACAAGTCTATGATACCTGTAATGGAAACCTACAGCTTTATGATCCACCTGAAGTCCGTTTTAAAACAGCAATTTTTTTGAAGAATACTTAAGAGCGAGGACACTGGTTGTGAAGGAATCATTTACAAGACAGTGTTTCAAAGATACAAATAAAAGGAGACATCTTCAGGTTATAATACACAAAGTTTAAATTTGCTTTAAATATGTCAAGTGCTTTAATATCAAGGTGGTCACTTACCAAAATAATACAGTAATTCTTATATTAACTCCCTGATATCAATTTTAATATTAAAATGGGTCATTAACAACAATTCACAAGTTTCATAATTTACCTCCAAGGAAAACACCTGCAAGTTTGTATTCTCCTGAGGTCTTCAGGTAATTCTAGATAAAAATAACCAAAAGATTATGAACTCTTCTCCTATGTAATATTCCCCTGAACAGCAAAGACATTATTTCTTATCATTCTGACATTTACGAAAAACTACACAAAGAACCACAAAATCTTAAGATTCTTCTTGAAAAATTCTTCTTACCTCTTCTGGTCGTCTTTTCACTATTAAATCACATGTTGGGTAATACAAACGTGTGAGAAAAAAAGAATTTCTTTCATAAAAATATTCAAATAATAAAGTAATTTTACACAAATTATTTTTAAAAGGCCAGAAGAGGCTTCTAATTAGTATCAAAATTGATACTAACAAATAATGTAAAGCTCTGGAAAACTTAGCAAGCTTAAAGTAATTTAGATCAAAAATTTCAGATCTGTGCTTTAGCAATGTTTCTAAACAATATCTATGTAGAAAACACTGTCCTATTTGCACATGCACAAGGTGGCAAATATTCCAAGTGTCAGAGCTATATTCTAAAATTATACAGTTCCAGGGAGAAAATCAGTCCTGGGCAGTATCATGGAGGAACGTTTATGATGTAAGCATTTATCTCCATGGACACCAACTGATGGCAAGAGAGAGAGAAATCTGACACTCAAAGGTGTCGGGTACTGTTGGAAACCTGTAAAGCTCTCAGAAGACTCTTCAGCAAAACCAATGACTGCTAACAAAATTTGCCTTAAGTTTATTAAGAATTTAAAACCAAGTCTTAAAAGTAACTCGAAATTTGCTTACCAAAACTGCTTTATATGCCTTAATTCTATGTACAATATTAAGGCCTTTGCAGGTAAACCTCAGGCAAAAAAACCCATGAGATGCAAGATGTGCTGCTAGTGACATCAAGTGTGGGAGATTCATGTCTCCTGATGCTCCATGTGTAAGAATTATCCCATAGGTTAAGTTCTTGTTAGGTACCAAGCAAACAGCATCCAGTAATTTATTTCCAAAAGGTATTTTTAACTTAACCTAAAATTCAAGAGAATGAAGAGATTAAAATTACCCCTTTGGCTATTCAGACAGCTGAACAGCTATACATATTTGTTTAGTGAAAGTCACAACTCAAGTCATGGTTTCCAAATAAAATTAATACATTTAACAAATAGATCTTATTGTATGTTACGTACCACAAGCGCTTTATATGTGTTATCTCATTTCAGTCTTTTTCGTAATCTATGAGGCCGGCAGTACTATTATACCCATTTTACAGACAAGGCACAGTGAGTGAAGTAACTTGCCCAAGGTTACACAGTAACTAAAGCTACGTACTAGGACTCAAAACCAGGCAGCCTGCTCCAGAGCCCAGCCCCTTAATGACTAATGAACTGCCTCTCCAGGGCAGGGTGAAAATAAGAACAGGACCCTGAAGCTGTAGGATTACCAAGTAAGTAAGTAAATAAATGAAAACTGACAACACAGAACATATGAAAACATTACCTCTGTATGACTCATTTTCACTGCTGAGTAATAAACTGCAAGGGCATTACATCTGAGACGCAAAGGCCATCTCCCTGCAAAGATTCTGTCGTGAAAGGTGAGCTATTAGACACAAGTATGACACAAGAACCAACACATTCAGTGGCTGAAGTACACCTGCTCAGAGCCACTCCTCTAAAAACCCGTGTCCTTACATGTATTTCATTTTGTCACATATTACTTACCTGGCTCTATGATTAGAGACAAGTGTAGGGCCAGCAGGTGTAAGATAAATGTCATTTATTTCAAAGTAGGGTGCTACCTTAGCAAAAAAATACTGACTTTAAAAATATACACAGGTAAGCACCTTCATTCTCAACTATCTTCAACCTCATTTTTGCACGTCTGTTAACTCATTATCACACTCAGCACCCTGCTTTCCTGAAAGAGAAGAGAGCTTGCTTTGTCCTTGGCCTTGAGGTGCCTGCTCCCAGGCAGAGGACCCATCACACCCCACAGACTCTAGCTCTGGCCATAACGGGCTTTAACTGACGGAATACAGGTGAAGACCCGGTGTGCCGCTTCTCAGCTGAGTCACAGCAGGTTCTCAGAAGCCTTCTTGCGCTTTCACTCTGAGACATGCTTTGGGCAGCTTTGCATTTTCAGCCTGCGTACCCAATTAACACGTGGTGCAGACAGGAAGGGCAAAGTCTGGATCCAGTCTGGCCCACCTAGGATCTAACCCACAGCTGACCTGCAGCATTGTGAACATGAATGAAAGCCACTGAAGTTTTGGAATTGTTATACAACATTCCTTTGTAGTTTGAGAGAACTTTCATTTTTCAGATAGTCAACATGAGAATCTCCATAAGTGACCCATTTGCTTCAGTTGACATTCATTTAATAGGTGAAAATAATACAGCTGAAAGTTCAAAAGATATCTAAGACAGTGAAAAATGTCTTTCCCAGTCTACTTTTGCCTTATACCCAGATTTCCTGGCTGAAGGCAACCAGCATTACCCACTTCCTGGTTATCTTTCCAGGCTGTACTGTAGTTTCCTATAGGAAATTGCACAGGGCACAAACTTTAAAAGGAAAAAAGGCAAGCATTCTTTCTCCTCTCCAGCCATGGAGTTCTTCTCCACTCTTAGAAGCAATCAGTGTAATCAATGTGTTACCTCTCTTATTGTGTTACTTATTTGTTCACTCCAGAATTCTCTTATTTGAGCCTGGGATGTATTAATCTGGCTCAAAACCTCTGAAAGTTAAATGGAAGGAGATTAAGGTACCCCTATGAATATGCCTTGGGTCCCCCAGTTCAAAAATCCTCGACTTTGTCAAGATAAACAGCCTCCATTTAAACCTCCTAACTACTCCAAAGGCACTCAAGAGGGTGAAATGGGAACAGGAGCTAGATATTTAGCTTCTTTAAAAGATTTCACCTACTTCCTTTAAGTCTTCCAACCGCAGCACCACCTGCTTCACTCCCAGCTCCACAGGTGTAGGGTGCTGATCGTTCCTATGCATTTTCAAGATTCTCTGATTTATACAGTTATTCATAGCATTCCCTACTGCTGGTATACGATTCTGTTAAGGTTTGTTACGACATTTGTTTCCTAGAGCCCATTATTTGATAATTTCCCTATGTGGGTTTATGCCTTTTCAAAAAAAAAAATCCTATGTTTGCAATTTCTTTGTGAGATTTCAGGAGGAAGCAAAATTAGAGCGCATTCCCTATCACTATCTTAACTAGTGTCCATTCTGTAACACAGGATTGGTGTTTTGTTGTGAAAATGCTCCTCTCCTCCAGACTTCCTGAGGAACAGCTTGTTCAGCACAACCGGCAGACGCGGCCTTGACTGCTTCATAAACACTGTCATTGTCCCTATCGCAAGCTCAAGGCAACCTGCTCTTGGGTTTTAATCTCTGCCTCTGGGTTTTGATAACAGAGGTTCTGATCTGGCTCAGTCTTGATGTCTTTCACTGTCGATGCAGGAAACCACATCGAATTTCTACAGCTGCTGCCAGCATGCACTGCCCGTGTAGGACCCGACCTCAACACCGCGCGCGCACACACGCCGCCGCCAAGAGCACTCAGCAGCTGATGCTCCGCGCCATCCCTCACGTGCAGGATCCTTGGCTACGTCTTGTGCTAAGGAATCAAAAGGCCATAAAAACCCGACTTTTGATTGAAAGGCGCTCGTGTGCTCCCTGTTATGGCGACAGCTGTCACAGGGCTAACGTGAATGTTGCTAAGACTTCCAGTCTTCCCGGGGGTCCGCTCAGCGCCACCCACCCGATGATACCAAGCAGGAACAGAAGGCAACGTTCGGACGCGGATGTGCAACAGCATGGGGGTCCGAGGCATTCGGCGATCACTTCTGCTGAAAAGCGCGCGCGTGTGGAGGGGAGGACCCCGCAGCCGGGGGCGCGGGCAAGGTGCCCGGGCTGGCCCTGCCACGCTGCGTGCCCTCCTTCGGCGGACCCCCGACCCCGGCCTCCGAGCCCCTCCTCACGGAAGCCACACCCCTAGTGGCAGCGCCCACCGTCACCGCCACAGCCATGGCCACCGCCACACTCACCGGAAGGCAACGCCGGCGCCAAACCGCGCGCTCTCTGCAGAGAACAAACTAGCACGCTCGAAGCTACCGCGTCGCCTCCCCCGCCCCGTCTGCGCGGCCCATAACTACGCATGCGCGCCCTGGCCACGCCCACGCACGCCGCGGGGCACGCCGGGAGCGGGAGTCCCCAGCGCGCCTTGCCGGATCCGCTTCCCGCCCGGACCTGACGTCATCAGAGAGGGCGGCAGCGGAGGCGAGTGAGGCGTCAGCTGCGGTGTGCACGAGTTGTTTGCGGGTTCCCTGGTCGACCCAGTCACTCCAGTCTAAATTCCTGAGGTCCAAAGACGGGGTTCAGCGGGGACCAGGCTCATTTCACACCGCGCAGGCACAGGATCCTTGCAGAATCCCGTCTTCTGATCGCAGGCCCGGGTGGACCGGGCTCTCTGCCGTGTGCACCGGGCTCTCTGCCGGGTGCTGGAAATAGCCATCCACGTCCGTCTCGCAGGCTCCCGATAGTTCAAGGCCGACCTGAGCCACTCAGTGATCCCTGTCTCGGGACAGAAACAGCGACCTGCGTGGCGTCCACCGCTGTCCCCTCCTCGTCCCTGGGTCGTCAGCGCAGCTGCCAGGTGGACATTGCGGCAGTGCGACTGCTTCACCCCGGGCCTCCGCGGGCTTCGCGTCCCGCCCAGCATCCTGGCGGAAAGGATCGGCATCCGGATTTCCACTAACCTGTGCCTTTCCCTGACTGCTGCGGCGCCAGGGAGCCTGGTCTTTCCGCCACTGGGAGTATAGCCCTGGCTTTCCTGCTCTGCCGAGATCTCAGTGAGCAGCCGTCGTTTCCGGTCCTTCACTCACTGTTATCTTTTAATTTATTTACGTATTTCAGAGAGTCCTTCTCTGATGAGCCTTTCACATTTCCTGTCCTTCTGTCCAGGTTACTTAACATACTGTGATACGAGTTATCTCAGTATGTTTCCTACTGAATTGTCTCACTACGTTTCCTGTGAAAACGTGTGTGCACGCGTGCATGTCACCGTGAATCTCCTGTGTATGGCACAATGGCAGTGTCTCAGTTCTTCCTTGCTGGGACAAAAGACTCAACAACTACAGCTTAAGGAAGGAGAGGTTTACTTTGGCTCATTGTGTAGGGGTTTTAGTACATAGCTGCTTGAAAGGCAGGCATGACACAGATGAAATAGCTCAGGGCATGGATAGCAGGCAGGAGAAAGAGGGAGGAAGGGAGAGACAGATCTCGGGAATGAGGAGTGAGGAAGAGCTTCTAGGCCGCCAGTGATCCATTTCCTCTAGGCTCCACCTAACAGTGACTTATTTTAGCCTCATTATAACTACCCAACAGTATTTCAGTGAAGTTCCAGTCAGTGCAATTAAAATGGAAGTAAGTCATTAAAAATATGGTAGGGGTAGGGATTTAGTTCAGCGGCATAAGCACCTGCCTTGTAAGCAGGCAGTCGTGAGTTGGATCCCTGGTACCGATAAAAAGGAAAAAGACAAAAAAGTATGGTAAAGATGATACACAGTCGTTATTTTTTAAATGATTGTTTTTGAGAAAAGTTAAAATTTACGTGTTTCGATAAAATGGTTTAGTAAGTGCTTTGCACAGAACATAAAAAAACTATGGTTGTCTTAGGCAAATAAACAGCTAGAACATAATTTTAAAATACTCTAACAAAATAGCAACGAACATAGAAAATATTTAAGAATAAATATACTCAAGATTTTATGTAAAAAACATAAAATTTTCCTTGCAAATCCAAAAGAAGACCTGAACTGATAGACATATGTAGCATTTTCTTGGCTCCAGGACTACATAAAATGATGAACATAGAACATTTTTGTCAGCTATTCAAATTAATGAAATTTCACTTGGAAATTTTTATACTCCTTAACAAAGTGGTTTCAAACTACAATTAGAAGAATAAGCAAGATTAAGAGAACAGTCGATCAGTAAAGAGTACTGAGATATCAAGATACTAAAATTTTATAGAATATTTTAAGAAAATTTGAAATTTAAAAAATTTCATTGTAAGAAAACCTAATCTAATATGAAAGATTAACAGATCTTAAATAGAAAAATACTAAGTTCTGTACTGAGCTAGACATTGGAAACAGGACCAAAAAGATTAGGAGACAACATTTACAAGGAACAACCAAAGATTGATATTGATAATAGAGTTGAAACATCAATAAGAAATTTCAAAGGTTGAAAATTTGATAAAATTACTGAAAATCAAAGAAAATACTAGATGTTCAACATTATCATCAGAAAAGTATTTTTTAAATTTTAAATTGAAAAAAAGTTATCCAGTTGTTGATCCTCTAGGAAAATGGGACTTAATACTCTATATTAAGGAGAACATAGTTTATGTAAACTTCTTGTTTTTCTTTATCTATAGAAATTTAAATTACCCAGGGGGAGGGAAACACCTGCCATTAGTAGCAGTAATTGGTGATTGATAGCCTCTCTTAGATTTGGAATCCAGACACTGAAAAATAACAATTTGCAGTAGAAAAAAGGTCGAAGCAGATTGCTGGGAACCAGAAAGGAACTGACGGAAAAAAAGCTACAATTGAGAAGATGGTCCACACTGCAGAGCAAGCAAAGCAATTTAGTCTCTCCCTGGCCCTTAGGGCTCACAGGGAAGGGAACCAGGCTCCCCAAAAGCAGGAAAAATGCCTGTGACCTTTGTGCACTGCACAATAGTGTGGGATTTTGCTCTATGGGACTCCTTCCCCAAGGCAGGGAACAGCTGGAGAGGGTTTCAAGCTCCATGCCCACTGTATTGCCAGAGAGAGCTGGGTGCCATTTGGGGGAAGGGGCTGATTATTTAAATCAGATTCAGAACACTTGAAAAAACACATTTCACATCAGAGTTCCCAGTGTTGTCATTGCACAGTGACTGAGTTGGAGCTAGTCATGGGAGACCTCTGTGGACAGGGAGTAGGCTACAAAGAGATCTCCAGGAAGGACATGGATCATCCTCCTTGCCTTGAGAAGCTAGGCCTGGCCCAGTAATGCTCAGAAACAGCTGGACTTGAAAGTACCGAGAGCATTAAGTACTTGCACCCTTTCCCTGCTGCTTACATCTAGCACAGATCTGAGGTCTGATTGCCTTTCCTGTCCAGCAGCAAGAGCAAAGACACATCTCCACATGGACTTTGCTACAGCTAATGTAAACAGAGGGCCTCTAAAATAGTGCATGTAGGAATCTCACAGGCTAAAAAACTAGGCAGAGCAGAGAGACTCACTGGACTCCAAAGCTGCAGATTCCAGAAGGAAACCACCCATTCAAACATTCAGAGAACATTTTTTCCCTCTTTTTTGGACTCAATTTTCTTTTTTTTTTTTTTTCCCTTGTTTTTCTCTTTTTCCTTTTAATGTGTGTGTGTGTGTGTGTGTGTGTGTGTGTGTGTGTGTGTGTTGTTTTTGAGAAAATGTCTTGCTATGCAGTTCAGGCAGACCTTGAACTCATTTATGTAGCCCAGGCTGGACTCAAATTCACCAGGATCCTCCTGTCTCAGGTTCTCAAGTGCTGGGATTACAGGTACCACCATGCCTGGCTCTTTTAATCTTTTTCTGGTTTTTATTTTTTATATTTTATTCTCCACATTATCCTTTATCTTCTATTTTTAGGTGCTTTTGTTCTGTTACCTTCATCTAATTCTATAAATATTCTTCTACTCCATGTCGGGATCCTTTGTCTTACTTTTATGTCTTCCTCCCCCTACCATTGTTCAATTTTTCAAATTTTCTTTTTGTATCCTCCCATTCCCAATACCTTATATGTTTAAGAATGTAACCATTAAGCCAGGCAGGATTCAAGGGGGAATCTCTGAAAAGCTGTTTTTCCGGTCT